GGCCATGGTCCAGATGCAGAGAGACCCTCTGTGCCCATCCAGGTGAATCAGTGCTTTTAGGTGGCTGGACTGGATATCAAGTAGTGGAAAGGAAGCTGCTGGAGTGGTGGGTCACACAGTGGGGGGCTTGGGGTACGGACAATAAGCCTGATCCTATACTGCTTAGTCAACCATTGAAACAATGCTCTCACACAGGAAAAACACATGTGGGTTGATTCAAGGTCAAACAGGCAAGTTGGTACAAGGCACCTGACATTGAGTTTCATGAGGAAGTAATCAAGAATGGGTGAAGCAGTGACTCTGAAGCCAGCCCTGGAGATGCAGAGAGGAACTGGCCTAGCACCAGCCCAAAGAACTGGACAGACACTGGAAAGGGGAAAAGCCTGTAAAACCATCAGAGAGCACTGTCCAGCCAACATGCTACCTCTTGAAAACGCCTGACCAGTGGACTCTTGCTTACAAGAAAAAACACAGGAGGCAGTTTGAGAAACACAATTTCAAATTCAGAGTATGAACAAGAGGGGTAGTACAGTGGCGTGGGCGCTTGCCTTGTATGTGGTCAATCTGGGTTCAATCCTCAGAATTCCAAACGGTCCCTGAGCACCATCAAAGTGAAATCCAGGAGTAATCCCTGCGCACTGCCAGGTCTGTACCACCAACGAACATACATACACACACACACACACACACACACATATATGTATATATATATATATAGAGAGAGAGAGAGAGAGAGAGAGAGAGAGCGATAGCACAGTGGTAAGGCATTTGCCTTACACGCAGCCAGCCCGGCCAAGCCGGGTTCGATTCTTCTGCCTCTCTCGGAGAGCCCTGCAAGCTACTGAGAGTATCTCGCCCACAAGGCAAAGCCTGGCAAACTACCCGTGGCGTATTCGATATGCCAAACACAGTAACAAGAAGTCTCAAAATGGAGATGTTACTGGGCCCGCTCTAGAAAAATTGATGAACAACAGGAGGACAGTTTTTTTAAATATACATATATACAATATATGAAGTATTTGTATTATACATAATAAAAATCATATAAATTATATATATCAAATTTATATCTATCTACATGTATGTACACATAAAAACCTAGAGTATATTTTCCGACCCTACCTTGGAGCCTTTTTTGGCTTTTAAACAGATCTGAATCCTTTTTATCATTCTGGTGACTACGAGATTGATGGAACTTTGCTAATTCCAAATACAATGCTTATTTTTTTTCTCTGATATTATTGAACTCACAGGTGGAATCCAGGAACTTGACCAACCTTGTGAATAGTCACAGGTAAATGGAAGGGCGGGCTGGGAGGTGGGGATCCTGGGGAGTGTTGGGATATGGGGAACTAACCCATATTCCCAACATTTGTCAGACATTTGAAATAAGGGGCCCCTTCCATCCTTTCAAACGTCTTTCTACACACAGTAAAGTTCATTTAAACGTTTCCAGTAGGGGCCAAAGAGATAGGACAGCAGGGAGGACATTTCTCTTGCTTTCCCTTTAACAGGGTCCCAGAGCACCACCAGTAGTAAACCCTGAGTATTTCTGTGTATGACCCAAAAATATGGCGCATGCCCAGAACTGCAGAAAAACGAGTGAATGCGGGACTGTGTGACCAAGCAGGCAAGGCTCTTCAGAGCAGAAAGGAAAAAATAGGGGAAACACATGTCTTAGGATCCGAGTCATCACAGTTGACAGGGCGAAAACGGGCCAGCACAGTTGGGGGACCTGAGATGTGCATCAGGTGGGAATCCAGAGCACAGAGAAAACAAGGCCTGGACACCTCCACTGTGGCACAAAAACAAACAGGAAAGAAAATAAAGCAGCAGTATGGAGTAATAGAACAGAAGGTCGGGCTGTGAACCCGATGTTCCCATATGGTCCTCCAAGCACTGCCAGGTGCAACGCCACAGTTCAGAATCAAGAATAATCCCCAGAATCACTGGGTGTAGCCCTCCAAACAAAACAAAATACCCAGATGCAAGCCTTCGTCCCCCAGCATCCCATATGGTCCCTGAGACATGTCAGGAGTCATCCTTGAGCATTAAGGTATGAGTACTCTTTAAGCTGGGTGTGGTTCAAATGCCAAAAACAACAAAACTGAAACAAACATGGCCTCATACAGAAAGAGTCGAGCCCTCCGACAAGGAGGCACAATGCGGAATCCTTCCTGAAACAAATCAGAGACATTAGGCCCAAGAAGACTGAGCGCTCCTGTCACTGCATCACCTTCTCTTGTCACTCTCTTCCTACCTAGGGATGGGGTGTCCGATGGCATGTCACCATCTTCTCCTGACTCTGATTTTCCTGAGGATCAGAGACCTGGAAGAAGAGTCAGAGCAGTGAGCACTGGAGAGAAGCACAACCCCCAGACCTGACCAGCCACACCCTCGGGCACTGGCTCACAGACACACCTAGGGGACACTGCCTAATGCTTCTGCCTCCCAGGGGAGGCAAAATGGGTTGACATCTGTGCTGCCTTCCGCAATACAAGCTCTGGCCTTGGTTACAAGGGAGAAAACTCAGCCCTGCCTTGGCCTGAGGGCTCCTCCCTGGGTCCCACAGAAGACTCTCACAGGCACAGCCAGTCGATGACTCAGAGGCCAGATCACGTGCATCAGCGCCACCTGCAGGCTGGCAGCAGGGCTGCCCAGCACAACCATAGCCCAGAATAGTGGCTCTATCACGGAGACAGCCCTTCTCCTCTTTAAAAAACCCACTTTCTACACACACAAACACACATAAACACACACACCCTTTACTCCAGGTACTCACCTCAATAGACAAGGGTTTAGACAGGGCTTTGCAACTTGATGTGAAGAAGCAGAAATTCCTGTTCCAACAGACAGTAAAACTAATAAGAAGATTGCCTTCTTGACACCAGTCAATCCTCTGCATCCCTACGCATCCCTATGGCCCCCAGAGCACTCCAGGAAAAATACTTGAGCCAGGAGCCAGAGTAAGCCCTCAGGGTATATTCAGGCATGCAGAGCCCCCCATTCCCCACACCAAAAATAGCCCCCCCCCAAATAAAACCCCATTCACCTATGGATCCACTGCTCCAGATGGCCCCATCATACAACAGAAGCCATTGAAAAAGCTGGATGGTAACAGGGAATTTTGGCATTGCGGGAGCTGCAACTCTGCCCAAGTGAATCTGGAGATTTTACCGCAGTGAGACTGGGGCCAAGGTCCCAACATAGATCAGCTGGAGGTCAGGATGGCCAAGCCCCTGCCCTCGACAGGTCTGTCATCCCCAATAACCACAGCCCCCATGGTCAGCCCAGTACCGACCCGCCGATGCTCCATCGCAGAGCTGTCGATGATCCTGGCCCAGGATCATTCACTCACATCCTCCTCCTCTGTACCCTGTCAAAGATCCGCTGTGCCTCAGGAATTGCCTGATATCAGGGACAAGTGAAAAACAAGTGCAAAAGTGCCCCCAGCTGACAAGGAGCCGCAGCTCAGTGTGGAGATGGGGAACCGCCAGCTGCTCACAGGAGATCACCCCTGTTCTGCCAAAAAAGTCGGCCTTCAGAGTCCCACTTCCTCACAGGGGCCCGACTCTGTCCTTTACCCAGGTGAACAACGACACTGACCCAGTTTCCAGGAATAGAAGCACCAGGAAGGGCTCCCTGTGATGTCACTCTATTTCCGCAAGCAGCCTTAAAGAGTCAGACTCCAGGTGTGGAGAGAACCATTATGCCAAACCAGGAGAATCTGTCGTGCAAGAGGGACGGGCTCACACAGAGGTGGAGAGCAGCTGCTGTACTGGCTGGTCACACAGTGGAGGGCTAACGACGGGTAAGAAGTCCCCTGGTCTCGTACTGGGCAAACAATGAGCCAATGCTCTCACACACAGTCCATAGGGAAAATCGTAAAGGGGGTTCATTCAAAGTAAAAGAGGCAGATAGGGAGCAGGTGGGGCATGAGGCAATAACTTTCTCCAGGAAATCATCAATCAAGGTAGGATGAAAGCTGTGACTCGAAGCCAGCACAAGAGCAGAGAGGAACTGGCCTAGCAGCAGCCCAGAGAGCTGGGGAGATGCTGGAACAGGAGCAAAGGCTCGTAGGAACATCAGAGAACACTGTCCAGTCAATGGTCCATGATTGACAACACGCGAGCAGCGAACACTAATCTACAAGGAAAACCCAGGATGTAGTTTCCGAACCCTGACAGGGGCTGGAGAGATAACATAGCGGGTAGGGCGTTTGTTTTCCATGAAGCCTACCTGGGTTCAATTCCCAGCATCCCATATGTTCCCCTGAGCACCGCCAGGAGTAATTTCTGAGTGCAGTGTGAGGAGTTTCCCCTGTGCATCGCTGGGTGTGACCCAAAAAGCAAAAAAAAAAAAAAAAAAGAACCCTGAGGTAGACCCTGAGGATCTCTGAATGTGGTACACAAGCCAAACCAAAATAACGATACTGAAAAGGTTTCATTTGCAAACTGCAGCCTCCGGCAGGAACTGAACCACCACATGGCCCTGCCATATCACAACAGTCAAAGGACAGACGACAACTGGGTCTGCAACTACAGGGGGGCTGGGGCCCTGCCCTTTGAAGTGAATCTGAAGGTTCCACATGAGTGATGCCAGGGCCAAGTGCTCCGGAACAGGGCAGAGCGAAGTCCCATGCTGGGATAGTGGGGAGAGCCAAGCCCTGCCCTCTGAAGGTCCCGCAGGCCCCGAGCTCAGTCCCTGCGCTTAGCCCCACGCCCACCTGCTGCTGACCATTCATGAAGCTGGAGGTGATGGTGGCCAAAGGGGACCCCCACGATCACCCACACACACCGCTACCCCTGCACCCCCTAAAACCTCTGGGTTCCCCTAAAGCATCCCTCATGCCTCAGGAAATGGCTGATATCAGAAATAAGAGAAAAACAAGCACAAAAAGGGCCCCCCAAGCTGGAGCAGCCCCGGCGATCACAGTGTTGAGAACGGGAGGCACTGGCCATTTGCGGACCGCCACTCGCGTTCTGGCAAAAAATAGGTCTTTAGAGTCCACCTTCCACGAAGGCTGCCATTTCCTCCTCTAACATGAGACCAATAGCAGTCTGAGTCAGGCAACCACAACGGGAAGAGAAAAAATGTCCGAAGTTCCCTGGCCTGGGGCGCCACTTCTACTGCTGCCTGAACCTGAGCCTTAAAGGGCCCTGGTCCAGATGCAGAGATCCTGTTTTGCCCACCCAGGTGAATCTGTGCTTCAAGGGGGATGGAAGGAACAAGGTGGGGAGAGTCAGCTGTGGAGAGTGGTGGGCAACACAGTGGGAGGCTGGGGATACAAAGACCCCTGATCCTGTACTGCTCAGTCAAACAATGACCCAATGCTCTGACACACAGTCCATCACGGAAGACGCAGCTGGGTTGATTCAAGGTAAAACAGGAAGGTTGGTACAATTCACTGGATGCTAAGTATCTTGGGGAAGTAATCAAGATGTGGTGATAGCAGTGACTAATTGCTAATTACTAATTCTAAATATAACACTTACTTTTTCCCTATATTATTATTTAACTCATGGGGAACGTGACCAACCTTGTGAAAAATCACAAGTGAACAAAATGGCCTGTTGGGTTGTGGGGAGCTAACTCATATTCCCGGCACTTGTCAGACATTTGATTCAAGAGGCCCCTTCCATCATTTCCTGTCTTTCTACACACAGTAATGTTCATTTAAACTGTTTCCAATAGGGGCCAAAGAATAGGTACAACAGACAGGACTTTTGTCTTGCACCAGGTTTAACAGGGTTCCCGGAGCACCACCAGGAGTAATCCCTGAGTATTTTGGGTATGACCCCAAAAGACGGGAAAAACAAAGTTTAAAATTTTAAAAAACCTGCCTTCATGGCACTCCACTAAAGAACCTTGCCAGGGCCATTTAACTAAGATAACACTTTCTGAAACATTTATCCTTTATACTGACACAACGTTAACCAGTACCTGAACACCTGGGAGGCAGAGATGACATGGGGGAAGAAGCTGGTCACACAGCCCACCTGGATTCCAACGACAGTACCCCATAATGATCCTGAGTCCCCTAGGTATGGATGATTGAGCTGAGAGTGAGTAGGACACAGCTGGATGTGGCTCCAAAGAACATGAATCAGGAGGCCCTGAAGAACGAAGGTGTGGCTGTTTCTCTGCCAAAATCCCCCAAACCAAGGGCCTCAAAGCCAAGTCACAGGGGCTGGAGCAGTAGTCCGGAGGGGATGGCTTTTTCCTTGCACGAGGCAGCTCAGTTTCAATCCCTGCTATCCCATATGGTAATCAGGAACCGCCAGGCGTAACTACTGATTGGGGAGGCAGGAGTAACCCCAGAGCATCTCTGCGTGTGAACCAAAAAGCAAAAAAATAATGTCCAGCCAGAGTCACAACAAAGAATAAGACAGTTCCTGGTACAACTCTCGGCCACTCTTGACCTTGACAGCCCTGAGCAAAGGGGAATTTTTTTGAATTTTATTCACATTCCTCTTAGCTTTCACGAGAAATCTGAAAAGTACATGTTAACATACACATCAAGTTCAAATTCGGGGACCCTGGCATAGACTTTCCCTTATAGACTGACATCACAAAAAGTTTGTTACACATAGACAGGATTATTACCTCCCTGGCTGCACTTTTGTAGCACAGCATCCCATGGTACAAAGAAAACAGACTTTCTGAAAAGGGCCTGTGTTGACATTAAAAATTGTTATTAGGGCATTGAGTCATCTACTATGAATTTTATGATGTTTCCTAAGACTAGAACGAAACACAAAGGCCTTCCCACATTCTTGACATGTATAAGATTTCACCCTAGTGTGAACTGCCCTATGTGCAATTAGGCTGGAGGCCTGATGGAAGGCCCTCCCACATTCCTTACAAACAAATGGTCTCTCTCCAGTGTGAATTCTCACATGAATATTAAGGTCTGAGGAAGAAACAAAAGCCTTCCCACAGTCCTTACAAACATAAGGTCTCTCTCCAGTGTGAATTCTCATATGCCGAGTAAGGCCTGAGGATACAACAAAGGCCTTCCCACATTCCTTACAAACATATGGTCTCTCTCCAGTGTGAATTCTCATATGGCAGAGAAGGTTTGAGGATACAACAAAGGCCTTCCCACATACCTTACATCCATAAGGCCTCTCTCCATTGTGAATTCTCATATGCCGAGTAAGGCTTGAGGATACAACAAAGGCCTTCCCACACTCCTTACAAGCATATGGTCTCTCTCCAGTGTGAACTCTCACATGGCATGTAAGTCTTGAGGAATTAACAAAGGCCTTTCCACATACCTTACATCCATAAGGCTTCTCTCCAGTGTGAATTCTCATATGCCAAGTAAGGACTGAGGAATAACTAAAGGCCTTCCCACATTCCTTACATCCATAAGGCTTCTCTCCTTTGTGAATTTTTATATGCCGACTAAGGTTTGAGGAATAAATAAAGGCCTTCCCGCATTCCTTACATCCATAAGGCCTCTCTCCATTGTGAAATCTCATATGCCGAGTAAGGACTGAGGAATAACTAAAGGCCTTCCCACATTCCTTACATATATAAGGCCTCTCTTCAGTGTGAGTTTTCATATGCCCAGTAAGCGTTGAGGATTGAGTGAAGGCCTTTCTACCTGCCTTAAATTTATGAGGTTTCTCTTCAGTATGAATTTTCCTGTGTCTAGAAAAGTTTGGAGAGTAAGCAAAGATCTTCCCACTTTGCTCACACACATATGCTTTCTTTGCAGTATGGATTCTACAATGTGTTAAGAGGTCTGAGGGTCGAGTGAAGGCCTTCACACAGTCCTTACATGTATGTGGTTTCCCTCCTGTGTGGATGTTCATGGCATCACATTGGGGTGATGCCGGATTCAAACCACGCCCTTGCTGCTGAAACTCTTGGGGATTCTGTCCACTGTGGGTTTCTAAGTGAACATCACATTCCTGGGAACACGGGGAAGCTCCCCCACATTCCTTACTCTTGGACAGCATTAATCCATGGTGATTTTGCTTGTGGGCCTTTCGGTGTGAAGGATTCACTATAAACAGTGCTCCTCTCTCACATTCAAGGGTCTGCCCCAATGTTGGGGTTTGCGTCCATGGACTGAGAAAAACAGACTCTGTGAAACTTTTCCCTGGGGAGGGATTCTTCAGAGTGAGGTTGCTCTCTCCATTCTGATCACCCTCAGAGGCTATCCTGCTTGCCTTGGCATTCCCGTGTGGCTGTGGGCACAAATCCACACTCGAGACTTTTTCACAGTGTGAAGGGTCAGAGACATTCCACTCGGGCTGGCTGCTTCCCTGTAGAACAGCAGAGGATTCCAATTATCGTTCTCTGCCTTAAGCGTCTCCACGTCAAAAGAAATTGATACCTGCAGATAGATTTCTAACATTTGCACCACACCAACGCAATTCCCAACAAGTGGATAGAAATACCATGGATTAACCTAATGTTTCTGTAAGACACACATGGAAAATTGATGAATGAGGGGCCATTAATTTGTTAAATATTTTTTTAACTCAATGAACTGGCAGAAATAACTCCCTCTACAGAATACTGATGCACCCGATTCAAGATAAAATAAAACACACTAAATTCTGGGTTCAGTTCTATCTCAATGTGGAGTAAAGCCGGGGATGCATTTGTTAAGAAAAGCTGCATCCCACACTGTTGACACTGACCACAGGGGCCATTGAAAACATCTCACCACAGGCAGATTCTTTTCAGGATCAATGACTTTTTCTGTTCTGTATTTTGTTTTCATTTAGGGTGGGGGTACACCATGCAGTGCCCAGGGATTATTCCCGGTAGGTCTCTATGAAACACATGGCAATGTGGATGGAGCAGTTTAAAAGACAAGGTATTTTCACGATTACAATTTGTAGAAACTTTCAATCGAATGAAAAAGCAAGGCATTTACGTGAAACATATTACAATTTTCTTTAGGTTTTGAGCAGAGATGTCAGCACCCAGTGAAGATAAGGGTCCTCAAACTCAAGCATCATACTCTAAATTTCTTTCCAGCCATTCCCAACCCTGCACTTTAAAAACAACATGCTGGTCCACTGACATTTTCTGTTAGTATTATAATATTGATTCCATACTTGCAAATCTTACCGGCTCACCCATACTCGGTGATTGAGTTCCCAAATCCTGAAGCCATGCATTGAGTTCTAAAATGAAACACAATATACAACGTAAGTATTCTTCGAATGGAGGGGCTGGAGCAATAGCACAGCGGGTAAGGCATTTGCCTTGCACACGGTTTACCCTGGTTCGATTCCCAGCATCCCATATGGTCCCCTGAGAACTGCTAGGAGTAATTCCTGAGTGCATGAGCCAGGAGTAACCCCTGTGCACTGCTGGGTGTGACACCCACCCCCCAAAAAAGAAAAAGAATTCTTCGAATGGGATGGGACATCCTTAACCAGGCAGTACAGCCTGAGGACATCTATTTGGTTCTCACCGTCCAAAGTATCCCACAGAAAAGGGAAGGTCCCTGGAAAGGATTGCTGTGAAAAGCTTGCCAATCCTACAAGACATGCATGCATGCCTCTCCTCCCCGGCCTCAGGGTTCCTCCTTTCAGCCAGGAGATCACCGCAGGCTTCACCCCAGAATGCCCTGAACCTCACAGTTATGGAGCATGGATTAGTGACAAGGAAAACATGACAAGTAAACCGCATGTATCCCTATGAAAATGGAGTAAATTACTGGAAAGGCATGAACAGAATCTGCACATCTGAAATGTTCTAGATTTGTGGTTATCCAAGATCTAAGATCCAGGTCCTAATTTAAGAATAAAATATGGGGCCCCATAAAACACCACGAATAGTATAACTTGGGTCTTAAAGGTCCAACAGGGGTTTGATCACAGCACAGTACGTAGTATTTTTTTCTCTAGTTTGGGATCCTCACCTGGGGATGCTCAAGGCTTCTCCCTGACTGTGTACTCAGAAATCACCTTTGGTGTTGCTTGAGGACCATTATGGGATGGTGAGAATAGAACGCACGTCCAGAACTTGCAAGACAAGCACCGTGTTCGCTGTACTGTCACTCTAGGTTCGGCATCACATGCAATGTACTGAGCCTGCGCGAACTGATGCCTGAGTGCAGTAAACCTCAAAGCTTAACAAATCCAAAGCTGGCCAAAGACGACCAAAGCCACAAATTGGTTATAAAAATAAACATAAAAGGATCCAGACAGACAGCACAACAGGTCAGGCACTGGCCTTCCTCAAAGTCAATTAAAGTTCGATCCTGACATTCAGCAGGATCTCTCAAGCCATCAGCTGTGATCCCTGACTGCATAATCCAGAGGCAAATCCTGACTCCGGATGAACCAAGAACCACTGAAAGTGACCGCGAGCACTGAAATACACCAACATCTGATGGGGTGAGGCCCTAAGAAGTACATGAACTGGGTTGGGGGCGATATTGCAGCAGGCAGGACACAGACACTGCACACACGTACAGGATTGATCCCCAGCAGCACACAATGCCCCGGACCACAACCAGGATGAATAACTGAATACACAGCCAGAAATAATCCCTACATATTTTTAAGTATAACCCCAAACCAAATCAAAACAAAACAGAAGGGAATGGCCTGCCACAGAGGCAGGGTGGGCAGTGGGATGGGGATGGGAGGGATACTGGGATTAGTGGTGGTGGAGAATGGGCACTGGTGGAGGGATGGGAACTCGATCACTGTATAACTGAAGCCTAAGCATGAAAATTTGTAAGTCTACAACTGTACCTTGTGGTGTTTCATTAATAAAAATTTTAAAAAACAAAAAAATTTGAAAAAAATAATAAAAATAAAAATAAATTAACTGAAGTTGTGGGCCTGGTGCAATTGTACCAGGATTAAGACAGCAAGGTTTTACGCTGCCAAGCATGTTCAATCCTCAGAATCCCATGGCTCCTGAACAACCCTGGGAGTGTTCCCTCAGCACAGAGACAAGAGGATTCAGGTTGTGCCCCGAATAAAAGCAAAACCCAAACGTATACTAGAAATTATGTGTAGTACAAGAAGTGATCAGAGAACTCAGCATTGGCAGGAACCAGGAACTTTTTAGTGGGACCTAAGTGATGGCTTAGCACATGAAGAGTTTGCCATGCACGGGGCTAACCTGGGTCGATCCCCAACACTCAAGATTCATGCAAACCCACAGAGAGTGATTCCTATGGACAGAGCTTAGAGTAAACCCCAAGCATCACCAGGTCAGCACCAACAAGAAAACCAGGGAAGGAGCTAGAGAAACAGCGACTGCATGGCTGTCCTCGCCAGGACAGTCACAGCTAATGTTGGAAACACAGTCACAGCCCAGCACAGGGAGCCCACATGGGTCGGTCCAGACAAGGTCAGCCCCGCACTGCTCTCACCAATGGCCCACAGGTGCTGGTAGGTCTCCAGCATCACGTCCTTGTAGAGCTTTCTTTGAGAGGCATCCAAGCACATCCACTCCTCTGGGGTGAAGATCACGGCCACGTCGGGGAAGGTCACCGTGCCCTTAACCAGCATACAAAGGGGGCAGGAATCAGGGTCTGTCCCCACCCTGTACCCTGGGCTGTGAGGCCAGGAACCCAGGGCCCTAGAGGGTCTCAGGGTCTGTCCCCTCGGGAGGAACCAGCCTCCACCTGAACTTCTGGCCGACGGGTCCCAACTTCTCTCTAAGACAGCTGCATCTATGAAAATGTGAGGATGCTCTTCTAGAAGGTTCCTGAAGGTGGCAGACTTGCTTTTGACCCCAGGGAATTCAACCACTGCTCCTATGAGCACTGCATAGAGTAAAAACTGAGCACACAATCACTGGGACCCAAATGAGTGACCCTGCTTTCAGCTCAAATCACTAAACATACACCCCTTGTATCCCACAGTCACTTGAGCTGCAAGGGCACAAACAGGTCCAGCACACCCAGGGACCCATGATGCACATCAGGCACAGAGCCAGGAGGAAGCCCTGAGCATCTCCACTGTGGCACAAAAATAAATACGAAAAGAAACAAAGCAGCATGACTGTGTAACAGGACAGTGGGTAGGGCTGGTGATCCCCACCATCCCATAGGGTCCCCTAAGCAGTGCCAGGTACAATGCCAGAGTGCAGAGCCTAGAGTATAATCCCCAGAATCACTGCGTGTGGCTCCGAAAACAAAACAAAATACCCAGACACCAGCCTTTGATGCCCAGCACCCCATATGGTCCCTGAGACATGTCAGGAGTCATCCGTGAGCATCAGTAATCTTTGCGATGCTGTGGTCCTAAAGCCAAAGACAACGAAACTGACACAAATGTGGCCTCATACTACAGAGAGCCAGGTGCTCTCACAAGGTGGCAGGATCCTTCATGAAGCAAGTCAGAGACAGACAGCCTGGGAAGCCTGACGCTCCTGTCACTGCATCACCTCATTTTGTCACTCCTACCTGGGGTTGGTGTGTCCGATGGCAGCTCACCATCTTCTCCTGCCTGTTTTTCCAGAAGACCAGAGACCTGGAGGAGAAGTCAGAATTGTGAGCACTGGACAGGAGCAAAATCCCCAAGTTCTGACCAGCCACACCCTCGGGCACTGGCTCACAGACCCGCCTGGGGGACACTTGTCAGATGTTTCTTTCTCCCCAGCAGAAGCAAAATGGGTTGGAATCTGTGTGCTGCCTTTTGCGACACAAGTTCTGGGCTTGGCTACAAGAGAGAAAAGTCGGCCCTGCCTTGGTCTGGGGACTCCTCCCGGATCCCACAGAAGTGCTCACAGGCCCAGCCAGGACCGGACTCTGAGGCCAGGATATCCCATGTATCAGCGCCCCCTTCTGGCCAGAAGCAGGGTTGCCCTCCACCCCCCCCACCCCCGTGATAGAGCCACATTCTGGGCTATGATTGCCTGAGGAAGCCCCTCTCTTCTAAAATACACAAACAAACAAAAAACAAAACAGGAGCTGGAATGGGAGGACAGTGGGTAGGGCGTTTTGCTTTGCAAGTGGTCAACTTGAGTTGAGTTCAAGCATGCCATATTGTGTAAACTCAAAAAGGGGCACAGCACACAATGGTGGTGGCTCTATCTCTCCCGCCGTCCGCGTTCAGTAGTCTCACCCTTCTTCCCCCACCCCGGGGAGGTCGATGGCGATGGGCAGGCAAAGGAAGGAATGAAGGCCAGGCTGGTTGGTCTTAGTCGCAGTTTATTCCAATCCTCTCTCCATTCACAACAGTCTCTCTTCTCTGCCTCTGCCTCCTTTTGCCCATGCTACAGTCTCATTATATCTCTTTCCATGAGGAATTGGGGGAACAATTACACATAGGGGTAGAATCAATCAATAGGGGTAGAATTCTTAGCCTCAGGGAAAGTCACTCCTAGGACAGACCCTTTCTCAGCAGGAAGACCCACCCTAGAGCAGGATCTCATGGGTGTGTCTCTCCTCTCCTAGTCAGACAAGCATATAAGCATATATAATATAAATCATTTTGTATGGATACAGTAAGAAATATCTTAAACTTATAGAATTGCCCTCCTAGGGCCATCTCGATCTCAGACTACAGTGCTCAGGCCAGATAGTCTTTCCCACCCCTAGCAGGATCCTAGTCTCGTCATTACTTTTGGATCATGACAGCATTCGTCTATGATCAAACTCTTAACTTATAGTTAAGAATTGTGGCACTTTGGCCTGGCCCATTTTGATGCCAGGATAGCTCACCGCTTGCCCTGGGTCCATTCGGTCCCTCGTTGGGACCCTGCTTTTGGGGTGTTAGGAACTAAGGGCAACTGAGGCTTAAGTCAAGAAAGCAGATGCCCAGGAGTGAATATTATTCAAAGCCAATTAAATCCTAAGTTACAAAGCATAATGTTAACCGTCTTCCTGTATCTATACGAAAAGGGCATTGCTTTAAAGTAATAAGGCATAAGGAGAGGAGAAAGGCAATATTTCACTCATACATATAAAATCATAGATTTCTGAAGAATTTGACCTTACAAATTAATAGAGTCTGATTAGGGGGAAAGCTGATTAACTGGGTGGGGAGGAGAGCATAGGGAAGATTGTTTACACATAAACACAATGGAATGGAAGTGCCTCAGGAGCACTGTAATGGGTGTAACCAGATAAACCTAAGCTCCTTGTGGAAGAAGGACAAAGCAATATCACCCTACACCATATAGTCCCCTCAGCACCTCAGGAGTAATTCTTGAGAGCAGAACCAGGAGGAAACCCTTGCATCGCCGGTGTGACCCAAAAAGCAAATAAATTAAAAAAAAAAATTCTACAAAGTCTTTTACGCTAGTACACACACACACACACACACACACACACACACACACCCTTTACCCCCAGTACTCAACTCTATAGCCAGGGGCCTGGGCAACACTTTGCAACTTGATGCGAGGAAGCAGATATTCCTATTCCAACATACAGTAAATCTGTTAGGATGCTTGCGTTGCTGACACGAATCAATCCTCTGCATCCCCACGGCCCCCAGAGCACTGCCAGGAATAACATCTGAGGCCAGAGCCAGAGAAAACCCTCAGGGTATCTCCGGGAATGCAGAACCCCACATTCCCCACGCCAAAAATAGCCCCAAAAGGAAATTATCATTGGGAAACCCCGGCCACTTGCAGATCCGCCGCCCCGGGCTGACC